TTCTACTGGATTTAAGTAGATTCTTGAAATTTTTAGATTTCATTAATTGGTTAGTGGATTTTTAAAATCTAAATAAAATTCATTTTTATTCGTTTGAAGATTTTTACATTCTTTTTAAAAAGTTGATGTTTGATTCTCTAATTCTTTTAAAATTCAATGTTATTGAGAGAGAAATATCTACACTTTTACTCATACAACAAAATTTTCAAAATACCATGGATATCTTTTAGATTCTTAAAATTTATGTCAAAACACCCACACGACACAAAAAACATCCAACGTACAAAACAATTCTCTTTTGATTTTCTTTATACTGTATAAACAGTAAAGTCAACTCGATTAATACACACGACACAAACAAAATAACTTCAATCTGCTTTTTGTATTGTATTAAATAAATCAATCTCAAAACCCAGATTTTTCAAGACAAAGACATGACCAAATAATATATTATAGAAAGGAAAAAAAATTATTTAATTGTGTCTATGATGTATGAAAAACAAGATCTGAAGAACGATGATGTCAAGCAAAAGAAAGTTAATACAAATTCATATCAATCAATAACAATCTACAAGAATATTCTATAAAATCAACAACAATTCACAAAAATTTATAAAATCTCATAACTTTAAAAATCCATAAACTCTACAAGAATTCATCAATGAATAAGGGCCCTTAATTGATTAGTTGTGATTATTAATGTTTTCTGACGTTGGGAAATCAGTATCAAAGCTTTTATTGACTTGACTGTAACTCGATTAACTATAGTCTCTATGTTTCAATTAAATCTGGTTTTTTTAATATTTTTTTAGAAAGCGTTCATCAATCACAGCAAGATCTTAATTATATCTAGACCGTATTTAATTTAGGTTTAAACTAATAAAAGAACTGATGTTTATATTGTGACGAAAATTGTGGAGTTTCATCGTATTGGTGATAATCATATACGAAAATCGAAATAATTCAGAAAAAACTAGAGTTGATACTCTCTTATTAAAAAAGCATCTTGGTTAAA